AGCGTCATATTGTCCGCACATCCGGCGAAGTTGAATTGATTGATTAGATCGAAGGATAATCATCAATCATCCGCGTTTGCTGCTTGGCCGTCGGCGCGGCGCGGCGATTATGCCGAATACATTCCGCAATCCATTCCGCGCGTCGAAATCTGCGGCTGGAGGCAAAATCGTGCACACGCGACGAATCTCGCCGCGACATTTCGCGAGCGTAAGCGCCACTAGACGCTAATGGGCCGTCTTAAATATGTAAGGGTAGTCTGCCCACCCGGGTACGAGTAACAATAAACCAACACTTAAGACTCGGCTACACAATGCCGAGTCGCATCCTTGGCGCTAACAATCTCGCCCACGAGCTTCCTGCATTGAGCTCCACGTGACGTAAATCGCCCTGATACACGCGAATTTATTATAAGCACGGAAAATAAATTATTAAGGCTCTCTGGAGATTTTAAATTTCAGCAGCCTTAATAAAGTGAGAGAGATAAAGGCCAGTACTATGAATTTAATTATGGAATATTTCAATATTATATCCTTTCCTAAACTAAGATTTCGATTCTTATTTTGTCAAAATTGATTCTTAGTTATTAGATTTTTATTTTACGTGCGCACTAAAAACTAACTTCCAGCAAGAATTCCGACGGTCACATCGTTTTCTCCCGAAATGAAGTCGTACGAGTCGCGTCCCCGGTACGTCATAAAAGCTAACAATGATGAAAATATTAGTTCTTAAAGCCGCACGGGGTGTCGTTAACGACTCTCTTGAAGCAGCGATGTTGTGAGAAGTTGTCGCTCCCTCGATGCCCGTCGAATTTCTTTACAAATTTTCCGCACATTATGTCTCTCTCTTTCTCTTTTCGTCTCTCTCTGTCTTTCTCTTTTCCACACGCAAACGAAATAAACAGTTATAACTTCCCATAACTTCTCTTCCTATTGTAGTATCGCACAACGCCCGAACTGACTGGACTTCGCTTTTCAAGTTTCATTTTAATCATTCGTCCTTTTTCTGATAATATTTCCAGTGCCGTAAGAAGATAGAGAGTAAAGTGACTTCGAATGAACTATATATAGAATCTATTAGGTATAGCTATCTCAATTAAATATCCTAAATACCTTTCTAATACTACAAAATAATACTGCAAAAATTTTTAAATATGCGCAAACCAATTTGGATGTTAAAATTATTTTCAAATGTGGCCAAATTTTGAGATACCTCAAAACTGCCCCTTTACGAATAGCAGCTTATTGCTAAAGAAGACCCGAAAACGAAAATTTGCAATTATCGCGAGGCAATCGATATTCTAACGTAACACCGCGTAAACGAAACCTCTTTCGGATGGTACTCTTAAATTCGTTGCTTAAACGAAACGGCCGACCGATAACGGACGGACGATTATAAATTTAAGCGCTTTTAGCGAAAGGTACGTCAGGTCACAACCGTTTCACACGCAAGCTGCACTTTGCATGCCGCATTCCGGACGGCTTGCCACCCTTGTTTGACCTGGCCAAGTGGTGTTGCGCTCCAGGTCCGAATGCATAATTAATCGGGTTATCAATTAAAGGCGCACCGGTGACTCGTATGCCGCTCTGTATGACTACTATCGACTTCTCATTTTATCTAACCGACCCACTTTATCGGGGGCTGACTATAAATATTGACCGAGTGATAAATAATTAAATTAAACCCGAAGACGAACTGTCTTTGCTTGAAATTAAAAATCACCAACCGACGGTTTTCACGATATCCTGAATTTTTAACTCTGAGTATTTCAACAATTCAGCTCGAAGTAAAAATTCTGTTAAATTAACAATCGTAGGAGTTGAATTGAAAATAAATGTTGTGTCACATACTGTATGTCAGTATATATTTAAATATTGTCTCGATGTATTGAATACCCTTGAAACTTGATATTCGCAAAAATTTTATTTCCCATCGTTTATTACACAAAAGGTATTGATATTCCGATATCGATACAATCACCATTATTACTGATTTGATTCCTAATATTGTTAAAGTATATATGATACGGGACACATTCCGTGTATAAAGTAATGCGATGCGTATTTATATTGCAGCAAAAATTATTCGATCCGTTATCGGGCAATAATCCAAAATATATACAACAGCCGCGTAACCCAACAGTTTATATGTAAAGATTAAATTATTAATTGATCTGTTGTGTTCCGTATGGCCGGTTATAACATTTGACAGGTAATAAAGAGTAATAATAATCACGGTATTGCAAAACAAACAACTGATATAAATCCGAAATAAATCCGCAATTGGCATTAATTCTGATTCTTCAAAAGTAATCGCATTACTTTCCGGTGCTTTTAAAAATTCACAAGAATCACACACAGAAATCGCATTATCTGAAATAATCTCGCTGCAGCGCGATTTGATTTTCAGAGAAAAATGGAGACGTTTGATGAACATTTCCTGCTATATTTCCTGTCAAACAACCTGTCCTGTAAAATCATTTTCCTCGCTCGACATTTGATTAAATGCTATATCTTTCCGTAAAGCTCCTAAATTTCAATATTGAACGTTTCACCCCGATCATAAAATTATTATTCAGGAATTCTATTAATTTATCAACCGTTTCACTGAGAAAAGAAAATTAAAGGTTTTCGTTAGATGATCATTATTTTTATATCTTTTTAAGTGCAAAAGTTCAATTTAATAATGATAATTCATATTGCATAAAGCATTCACTTCGATAAATAGAAGTGAAAATATCTACCCCACTTTATTCATGACTCATTATACACGTATGACTAATTGCTCATTTAGTTTATTCGCTACGAATTGAATACGTCATTGCGTTATAATAATTGCGCTTTGACAGGCTTACGATATTTGCTTTGCATGCCTCGAATTAAAAACGGAAAATAGAAACTAAATGTGTATTATCAAAATGCAAAATAATAAAATGCAAAGTAAAAAATCTGACACATCATATCAATTATAATATTATCAATAATTATCTATCTCTCTCTAATTATCAATATCATTACATTATTATTATTATTATTATTATTACACTATTATTATTACATTGTTATTATTATTATTATTATTACTATTATGTCGTTCTACTTTGCGCGTTTAAAAGTTGTAAAAAATACGATGAAACAAATAAACGCTTCTCGTTTATTTTATTTATCCGAAATATTCCTGAAGTGTGGAACAAAATTCTTTAAATGATTTATATTTGATCGCGAATCGATGCTATGGACGCATCCAAAATGCGCGTTTGCAGACCGACACGCCCTCGCGTATGTTAATATCGCGATTGATTGGATACCAACCGAATCACAAAATTTACCATCGAGGCGGACGCTGCTTTGCAGCTTACCGACACGATTAAATAGTGAACCGTCGGCTGATGTTACCATAAGATGTTATTTGCCATCGTGCAAATCAGGTTAGCATCGGTGCACTGTCGCTTCGTGTAGATCCGTGATCGCACGAAGTTCACCCGACGAAACTGCCGCGCGATGCGCAATGCGACGAATCGTAACGCCACTGCATATATAGCAAATGACGCTACAGTCGCGCGGAGTACACTCGATGAATCTCTCGCCTTATCGTTAAAAAAACTGTATTCCACAGCGAATTTTCATCGAAAACGGACATTTGAAAATCTTAGACTCAAAATCATTTATCAAATCATTACAATTACCTATAAATAAATGAAACAACATAATGTACGATATTTTTTTCGAAAATTCAGCGAAATCGCATCGATACTAATCCGTGATTCAGTTACAAAGTATCGAAATAAACAAATACCTGGTGTTGATTTCGCACACATTGCACATATTCCTGGTTGTGTTTCGGGGGGAAAATATCCAAGATTGAAGATATAATATTCAAGATAATATCCAAAGCGAAGAATGGTAATTTGCCGGCCACAGAGGTAAATTGTCGATGGAGCACTGAATATTTCACAAGCCTAGCACTTCACACACTCACAAGCACTGCATTTCACATGTACGCATGATATTCACACGCGAGATTCACTCTTAAACGATAATGATCGCGAGAAATTTTGGAGTAACTCGGATGCGATCTACATCGAATCAACGCAATTCTAGAACTAAATGCGCGGGACATTGCGATTCTTAAAATTTCAAATTGCGAGAACCAATCACGTCGCGACGATCGGGGTCTTTGTTCTATCGAGGTGTACTTCGAGGTGGCGTGCATAATCAACTTTTGGCGGGCGAAAAAGGCGGGTGAAGCGAATATGACGAGAGAAATTAGATATAAAATCGTTTGAAGTTTAAATAGTACCTTTAACAAAGAAATAGCATTCAAGAATGTTTCGATAGAAGTAATGGAAATAGCGAATTAATTGCAATAATTCACCGATTGCAAGTGATTATATAATACAAATAATATTTACAAATATTTATTTAAGAATCGAAATAGTGGGAATTTTGTAGGAATTATTTAACATAAAAATAAAATGCGCATCAATTGAAAAGATAAATAATATATTGTATAGATAATATTATATTGTATGTATCCATATGTTAAAATCGATTTTCATATGCTTTATTTTATTATGAATCATTTAAAGATTACAAGAATAACACAGTTGGAATATATCCGTAATCTTCGAAGCGAATCATATTCGATTAAATTTTTCGAACTGTAAATATCAATAAAATATAGCGTGATAAGTATTATCTCGTTATCATTAAATAGAGTTATCACTAAAAAGAATCACCAAGATTTAATTAAGATATTAAAGTTATATGATAATTTTTTCAATTTTAAACTTAAAATCATTAAGTATCTCTTTAAAAATCAATTTAAAATTATCAAAAGGTTAATTAAATTTTATTAAAAGTTATTAAATTTTCTATTAAAATTTGAACAAATATTCGTGTAAAATTGATTCTTACTTTCTATATTAAAAAAATTAATCTTATTATTGTTGTATAAAAGGATGGGGTATAAATGTTTTAACATACCAATAAAAATCAATATATACTTAAAGTTTATGAATTTTATTAATTTATTAATTATTTAACAGAAAAACGAAAGCTTCGCCTTGCATCTCTAACTTTTACTAATTGTAAGCGTAGGGTTTTACATTGTCAATCATATATTTCGAATTTTGCCTATATATTGGATTTACTCTGGCATATTAGGAATGTATTATAGCTTGCAACGTAGATTGTCCTTGACATGGTTATGAATTAACAGGTGCAAGGTTTGCATGTGCAATTTCCACCCGACTTGCAGCTACATTGATCTGTAAAAAAATAGATATACTTATCAGTATATTTATTATCATAATCAATTTCAATTTTTCTATTAAAAAAATGGAATCAAATAAGTTCATATAAAGTTTACAAAATAAATTGTTTAAAAAAAAACGAATATTATTCTACTTGCGTGTTGCAATAGTAAAAGTAGGAATTGTTTTACAATTTTAAATTTTATACCACATTGTATATTAAAAAAATTGTGAAAATAAATGGTGAGAAAGAAACGGTGGCGTTTCGGGAAAGCATGAGTCATTTCATTACATGATTGAAATAATCGAGAGCCTGATGTAGAGGCTTCGAATAACGTATTACGCGCAATTGCATCATGCAACGAAATCGCGCTGTAAGCCTTGCGGAATTGCGATGCACGACGCTAAGCGACACAACAAATGCTGGTGTTGGCCAGCATTACTCGGTCATTGTCCGCGATGGAAAACAAAAAATAATACAGTTACTAGTCGGAGCGCATTCTTGTCCGTCGATGCTTTCCGTTTGGAGAGAGAAATATTTTCGACACGGTATTGTGAAAGCTAGTTAGACACCTCGCAACCGGTTATAATTAAAAATAATAATAACTCGTTAGAGACGTAACGAGCAAGCAGCGAATTGTGCAATCGGAGAAGCGGACATGCATTGTTAATTTTTAATATAAACATTACCCTTGCATCCGGACTCACAACACGAGCAGTTGTCGCCACACTTGCAATCCTGGCATTTATCTATAACAAATTTAAAGATTTACGTTATATATTACGGATTTAAAAATTAAAATTTAAAGATTAAAATAAAATACTATTGATGTATATTACAAGCTATGAATTACTTAAGAATTATGCATACATATCAGGAAAAAAATCAACCAAGAAAGACATAAATAAAAATCAGCATTGTTAACGATGTACAGTGTAATATTTTTCTTGTGAATTTGATACATCTTAGTTTAGATGATATTTTTTGTAATAAACTCTATAAGGTTTTCAAGATACTTATTAGCATTATTAATAAATTAAATTGATATATTAATAACTGTGATAGTAAAATTTCAGCTTTAATTTAGAACTACGTTTCAAGACTGACAAATCAGCAGCTAATTTGAGTTGAAATATCTTAAATTCACAAAAAAAATTATATTGCGCATCTAATAATCTTCTGGCTCTTATTGGCCTTTACTTATGAATTTAAATCTCAAGAGTCTTAAATAATTTATTTGACGAATTGTATTTACGTATTTTAATAACTAATCAATCGTACTTTGACCACCGCCGAATTAATGATAATTAATGATAATTAAAAATCAATCGCGTGACATCTTCTCACAGATCTTGTTTTCTGATTTATATATTACACCGTACGGTGATAGTTTCCTCCACGGATCACCAGTGACAATTGAGGAAACGTCATATCAAATTCTCTATTAATGTCCATTAGGCATTCATGAGCGTGCTCACCCTTGCACTTGTCGCATCCTGGTCCCGGCATCTTGGCTTTGGCTTGTCGCTCGTACGGTCGAACTCTCGGATAACACAGCGGAATGCTTACTCGCCGGTAGAACGTTGTGACTTCGAATTTATCGATCGTTCCCCACCAAGGCTGGGTTTGGTTCCGGGCGGACTTGACGGGCGCAACGCGCGGCGTGTGCAATCGTCAACTTGCGTGCCATGCGCAATTCCTCAGGGCCGTGTGAGCACTCCGTGAGCAGCACGAGTTTTTCAGGCTTTAACAGGTTGTCGGTCAGGCTGACGCAGAAGACGGCGTGTCACATTCTCGCTCGGTCAGCTCGTTGCTATTCTCCTGTAGACATGCGATTCGAATCAATGCGCGCATAATCAAAGTTCAAACAACAAATTTAAATTTCACAATTTCACAATGTCAAATATTCATTCTTGTCTTCGTCGGTTAAATCGCTAATCAGAAAAACTTGGAAATTGTTGGAACCATATCGGATCGATAGTAGCTTTACACGTATAGATTTAAAAAGACCATGACAACAGATCGAATAGATCATCTTATCATATTATTTCTAAAGAATGTAATGATCTAACATATTTATGAAATGTTGCATATTATTTTTCATTGATAAATTAAATTTTATAATATTAGAATTAGAAAAATTATTCGCATAAAAAAATTACTCATGTGAGATCACTTAAATGTTTAAGGAACGATATTTACAAGTACATTATACACTTTCTCGGTACTTGACCTGTGTCTATTGTATATGTATCAGGAAGCGAAACGTTATATAAGACCAAAAAATTTTGATCAAGTCTGACATAACAAGGACACTCAAATCACGTTAACAATACGTGGTGGCCTCACATAAAACGTAGTGCCCTCCTTCCTAATAACATAATTAAAAATTCATTTGCCCGTGATATTGGCACAGATCTCGAAGGTGTTATCGACTCAAGATCGACAGCTCTGTCTGGTTACCCATACGAGACCAATTACAAGAAATGACGCAGTATTGCTGCACTGTATCGATAACAAGAGAGGGAGAGAGAACCTTCTCACAATATTCTAGATTCTGAAAACCACGCAGAGACTGAAATTGCTGCGCATTCTTCGAGACACTTCTACCTTTTTGCCATATTTACGTCGTTCTTTTACAGATTTTACGATGTTCCTCGTAAAACTATTTTTGTTCAAAGTAACTCTCATTACTTAAAAAGCGCTCATTAAAAGCGCTCTGTGTTTTTTCACTGTAAGCATGAAATAATTCTGTCAGATGCTCGTATATACAGATTATTTTCTTATTATTTTATCCTCATTACACGATATATCAAAACAGATACGAAAAAAATAATTCACATTTATTCGTAAACATACATATGTATGATCGAATTTAAATTTTATAATCAAATTCATATTTATTTATAGATATATGTATAATTAAAGTTGTACTTTATAATTAATTAATGATATAATCAATGAGTATCTGATGAACTTTTACACTTATTTTGCTAAATGATATCTGAAAGTATTTGATGGACAGAGCTTTACTCATATGAAGTTAATCGATAATTAATATTTACTTAACCAATTCTTTTGAAATTGTTTATAGTTCGAAGACATTTTTTAAAATGTATTTAAAAAGATTGCGTGTGATTACTTAATTCGATGGTTATCCGAATACTTTTAATTAATTTTAATACGAGTCAGAATTTCATTTAGAAAAAAATTCATCATCAGCGCCAAATAAATCTCATTCTATATATAAATATGAATGTGAATTATTTTTTTCGTATCTGTTTTGATATATTGTGTAATGAGGATAAAATAATAAGAAAATAACGGTACATACGAGCATCTGACAGAATTATCTATCAAAATTATATATTCAATTACAATTTGAATTATTAATTTGTATTATTTCTGATAAAATCATAAACTATATTGTCAATTTATGTGAAAGTTTTTGTGAAACATGTGAAAAAATATGGATCGAAACGAGTTATTTAATTCTTAATTTATTTACAACTTTTATCCTGTATGATAATCTATATTTTTTTTATGTAAGAAATTCAATATTACAGATTATAAATTTATATTCTACAGATATAATTTATATATAAAAATATAGTTTATAGATTTAATTCTCTTTTTCTTTCTTTGTAATACAGCACCGTTGTTATCTAGTTATCAAATTAAAATATCACATTAAACATAAAAATATTAACTAATAACTTTTTTGTACAGAAGAGAATAACTATTTTATGACTTATCTATTCAGTGTACACAAATTCTTCTGCAGAACCGCAATAAGTTTCAGTTGGTTTCAAGTAATCCATTTGAACTGATTTCGTAAGACCTGAAATAATTTAATACAGAATTTAAATTGTGTATTATTTGTCCTTGAATACTGAGTTCTCTGAATTCTCTAAAATTATTTTTTGAAATGCAATTTTTACCTTCATGTTGTATTGCAACCTTATCTTTCGTAGAGCATCCGTTTATGCGATTTCCTACTTTTCGATTTCCTATTTTCTTTATCTGAAAAAATTGTTAGACTGTTATAAATACGTTGTTTTAGTATTATTAAACCAAAAATTCAAACATATACTGTGATGCATACATGTGATGGGAGTTTATAATGCACTTTTGAATGTGTACAGTTGTTATCGGCAATATTTTTATTTTTTACTGCCATTCCAATCAGCTTCTGTAATAATACAAAACAAAATTGATTACCAATGTATCGCGAGATTTTATAAAATATATTTCTATTAATACCGCTTACATCTCTTGGACGTTTCGGAGATAATTGAAACTTTGGACTGGGTGATCGCAAAAATCGCTTTTTCTTCGGTGTTAGTGGTATTTCATTTGTTTTAGGCTTTAGATTTTTTACTGGAGAATCTATGCCCTTTATGTACAATGCAATTGGCGATATTACGTGATCATAATTTCCTATTTGTCGATAAATGCTTTGTGCGTGCGAATTAACTTCAGGTTTGTTTTGCTTCGTTTCTGGCATGTCAGGGAAGTATGTGCGCTTTGGCTTACAACCTTTGTTAACAGGTGATTTTCCAGGAGTTACAAATAGCCGTGGCTTTGAAACAACTGGTTTATTAATAGAATGTTTTGTTGACGAAGGAGTTGCAATTTTCTTTCTCGAAAACTTTGGTGTTCGTAATATTCGTTTATCACCTGATAAAGTTGATAGTGCATGTGCACCTAAATTTTCGTCGGATATCAACGTGGTTCGAATATTTTTCTTATTATAAGGCATACGAGGACTGCACGATTTTATTTGATGGAATTGATTGAGCAAAGGTTTGTACTTTTCCAAAGAATTTTGATACTTCTTTAAGTACATGAGAGTTTTTAAGAATTTATCGTCATTTGTAAACTTACTAGTGTACTCAATGTTCGGATAAGTTTCTTGTGTTTCTTGTGTTTCTGTCGATTCCGAATCAATATCCATCATTATTCTTGCTGTATCAAGACATCTTTGTCTTTTCTTTGCAATTTCATACATAAGTGTATTTTCAAGATCATCTAATTCAAACATTTTGTCCTTACTATATTTTGTTCGCTGTTTAAATACATCAGATAATCTTTTTGAATTTATTCTATCATATTTTTCGCCTGAAAATAAATCGTGTTGCGCTTCGGGTGTATTATTATATTCATCTGGATTTGAGAAACATGTCCGAGCTTTCTCAATTTGCTCATTAATGTTAAGGGAATCGTCCAAAGAGGCCATTTGATTGTCACATGCACGCAAAATATTATCCATATTCTTCTTTAAAGGAGATTGAGATTTATCTTGTAAAGTAGCTTTGTATTCATTAGGATATAATTTTTCGCAATATGCTTCCAAGGATTCAAATGTACTTGTGCTATCATGCAATGATTTTTTTATATTCTTCGACATTCGTCGGTAGATTTTCTTAGAGTCTTTACTATTTCGTCTAGAAAAAGTGGGCGTTGAATATAGACCAGGAGATAAAGTATGAAACTTACATAAGGGATCAGATTTAGATTCCTGACTTTTTCTTCTTGTACATGTTGGTGTCAATATATTAGGAGACTGTGGCCATTCAGGAATAGTCTCATCCTCTATTAATTTGCACATTTTTTTAAGTTCCTCATTGAATTTATATGAACTAATTTCGGAACATTGCAAGGATGCACGGGAATCATTATTTATAACCGATTCTTCGATTATTGTTAGCAATCCCTCTGTAAAAGCTTTGGGTGAATTGTAATAATTTGTAGACAAACGCCTCAAAAAAGGCGTTTGTGGCTTATGCTTCTTTTGTGCTTCTTTTAATGGTTTTTTATCTGCCAGCCAATGTAGGAATGTTTTCAATTCAGAAGGATCAAGGTCTTCTTTTAAACTTTCTTCACTGGTAGAATCATGCTTCTGATCTTTTATATAATGGCAATCATCCTTCTTATTTGATAAAATCGAAGGTTTTGACAACGATAATGCATTAAATGAAAGAACAATCATTTCAACTTTTTCATGGTGACTTACTTTAGGTGTCATCTTGGTAGAATGTGGTAAAATCTGGTTGGCTTTGATATTATAATTAGTATCCCTCTTTAGCATCGTATTAAGTGTACCATAGCTCTTAGATTTCCCAAGTTTTTTATCACATGAAGTTACATTTTCCAATGAACTCTCTGACATAGACCGCCGACGATTATTAATTGAATCGCATTGTCTCACAGCCTTGTTTTTATTTAAATGACAGAATTTAATATTTTTACTGTCTGTAGTTTTAGGCACTGTTGTATGAAGATTAGATTGTTCTTCAATACTGCTGCATTCTCTATCCAGATATTCATTATCAAACAAATTTATACGTTTGTTTAAGTCAGCTTTTATTGTCCGATATGATGATTCTTCTGACACAATCGATATATCTTTTAGCAAAGGCTGTCTGTTACTGCATGTATCTTTTTCAGAAGTGTTGTATGAATCAGATGATGAAATACATTGTTGATTGGTCAGATTACCTGCTAGGATAATAGAACCAGCGCGAGTTTTCTTACTTTTTGTATCTTTATCATTTTCATATAATTTACTTCTTGTAGAAAGTAAATCATCTTCTGAAATTGTCTGAGATGTGGTCTGACTTGATTCTTCATCATTTATTTGACCTATAAACATATATATTTAACTTAAATTATATATTTAAATCCAAGCATAAAATTTAAAGAATTATACATTATTACATATTAAAATTAAGCTTTTGCAACAAGATTATAAGTTTTTCTTTTATCC